GCAGCAGCCAACAATTCTTCACGGTCATCATCAGATTCAACTGCTGGGGAGAACAAAGGGCGAATGTGAGAAGCCATAGAAAAAAACAGAATTGTCAGCAAAAACCAGATCTAGTACTTTTGTTTCAATAAATTTCAGACTTGGATAGCTGGTTAGACTTCTGAAGAAATAAAAACCCTAACACCAACTTCAGCGCCACTCCCCCCCCCCCCCCTCTTTCTCCCAAAAAAAGAGATATTTGCAAATCAATAACTTTTTCGGCCAAATTCAATATCAATACAAGATGTAGGTTAAATTAAGAGATATGGCGATACGAAGATGATCTGTAAAGATCACAATAGATAATACATAATAAATGCCCTCCATATAGTAGTTCATCAAACAAAAGTACAGATAGATAGACAATGCAATGAATTAAGGATGTAGTTCCGAAACCTCATAACAACAAAGAACAGGTTTGCGAATTATTACATATATTTTGACTGACAACCCAGAAGAGGGAAAAATAAAAAAAGCCCAAGTTCAAAGTAACATTCTCCTCAAGCCATTCAATATATCATCATTATCCATCACACCATTTCAACAAGAACTGCTTCGGCAAGGATGATCCGGAGAAATGTATCCATTAAAAAATTGAAGAACCTCTACAGTTGGAAAGCTAACTGACTCTTCACTTGAAAGTTGGGACAGTAAGAAATGAGGTACTACAGCTTACTGTATTCATCACTGATATTATATACTGCCTACATTTCATAATTTATACTTTATAGCATATATTATTCTTGAGCAATAAAACTTTATGTATACTAGTAAAAACTAACACACACACACACACACACACACACAAAAAAAAAAAAAAAAAAAAGGCTAATGAAGCAGTCTTAAATACGACAGTATTTTATTTTTTTTTGTAAAATGGGCAGTCACCTCAAATTTGATAAATGTCACCCTCAAACCACATAAAAGTCTCTAAAAGAAAGCGTGCCTTACTATATGAAATGGAGGAAATAATACTATACATAAACAGGCTTGTTTTTGTCATCCCAATTGCAGTGCACGTTGTCTAAATCCAAAGCAGTCTATACACAATTGAAAAGCACAAGTAAAGGAAAAGAGGTCAAAATCTTACAATTACGAGTGAAAGCCCTCCCATCTGACATCTTTTTTGAAGGTGGGCGTCCTGATTTACTGCATAAAATAATCAAACAGGACACAAGCTCAGTGACTAAAAATTGCCAAAAAAAATGAACCAACATTATCCTCAACAGAGAAATTACAAACCTTTTTATTTTCTCTGAACCCGGCCTTGTACTTTGAATACGCTTTGCTGTTGGCACATTCTCCAGCTTTGGTTCAGGTTGTGAGAGTCCAGGGCTAGACAAGGACAAACCCCTCACTGTCCTACCTTGCCTCCGCATGCCATCACCAACATTTTCAATGGGGACATTTTTATTCCTCTTGGTAGGAAAGATAAAAGAACGCATTTTACCCTTTCCAGTTAGCACAACATCACTACAATCTGTTCCTTTCTCTTCCAATCTGAGTTCCAAGTCTTTCGAATCTTCACCTTCAGAGATAAGACCAGGAGATGCTATACTTTCAACCTTAATTTTACTTTTCAAATTATTGTTATGAGAATCAACAGATTCTAAACATCCAACGCTACCGTTCTGAGAAAACTTGGCAGCAATAACAGGAGAAAATTTTACTGTAGAGATTTGACTTTCATCATTATTAGAAACAGGTGAAACCACATTTGTTCTTCTGCTACGGGAACTTTTTTTGTTGTCTCTGACCAACCCATTGACCAAGCATATAAGATGAATTGGCAGCCCGGTGATTATTCTGCATCAAATCAAGTGAGATCACCTTGTTGGTACTTGTAGGCTGTTCCCACCCTTCACAACCTTCTGAGGAAGCTTGAACATCAGAAGATGAGTTTACCGCCATGACTGAACCAGTTCGTGGAGCCCTAGATATCTTTCCTTTTATAAGCGCTGCAGGAGTGCCAGTTGAGGTGCCTTGCTTAGAATTTGATCTGCCACTCAATCTAGTAAGAATTTGTAAATGAACCTAAATTAACAACTGATAACAAGTGATACAAAAATAAATGACCGGTAGTATTAATGTTTGTAAGTTGCCCCAGATATCCTATGAAATGAAAGTGTATAAAGGAGCAGTAGCTTGTTCAACTGCACATACAATACAAGCATGTAGTAACTATTCAGACAGCAACTTCTAGATTTAACAGACAGTGTCAGCAATGTTTCACTCACAGCTCATCTTCTGGAGGAGAACCTTCTCAGGACGTATGTATGCAGGAGTACACAAAGTAATCCGAAAGCCTATCAGCCAAAAATGACCTTAAAACAATATTACAAATGACCAAGTACCTTAGAGAGTTGTCATATGTAGCCAATTTAGAATCAATACTGGGCTCTGAATTCATTGTTCTTTTGATGTCATTATCCGCAGATCTGTTAGACACCGTCCCAACAGAACGTTTCCGCTTCATCATATTTTTGTCCCAGCCATCCCCCACAGCAGACAGTCTCAGCACCCTTTCTTCAGGAATAGAAGGCCCGTTTGCAGTTTTAATGATATTTATGTTCTCAGTAATCATTTGATCCTTCAACAAAGAGCCAGATTTATTGTCAACCTGCAAACATTTTATAGTCATTGCTTAAAGGACATCACGTAATACATGTATAAAATTATTAATAAAGCTTTAGATCATTTGGAGAAGCTAGCTAATTACTCCGTATGTGAACTTAAAAAGGAAAATGTAGAGAATACACTGTAGCAATATAATTTCTTAAATGTAATGTGGCCAATTTGGTAGAAAAGATATGATAGAACCTTCCAGAGCAGAGTGTCTATCAGCATTTCTTTAGGGGAGATGGTATGTAATTAGAACCTATGGAAAAATGTCTGTGGGGCTCATCCCAGAATAACTTACAGTGTAAAAAAAAAAAAAAAATAATAATAATAATAAATAAAAACAAACAAACCTGAATGATATACTTGTATCTATATTGGTTTTTAAGGGGTTCCACTCCCTTACACCCACTGACACACACACGCACATGCACAAGCACACTAACATAAAGCTAAAGAAAAAAAAAATGCGCTCTTTGTGACTTCTTCCTCTTAAATAAGCAAAGAAAGGAAGAGATAAAAAGATTAAAAGTAAATTGCAGATACCAACCCTAAGCTCTGTGGCAGATGTGAGAAAACGTTTGTTCATCCCAGAAGGCTTGGCCCTGTCCTCTAATCTTTGAGCTGATTGGTCAACAAGATTACGAGGCTGACCTGCCATCTTCAATAAGCTTGATCCATTTGGCTTGTCATGAGACAAAAAATCAGTTCGTTGCCTCTTCTTCGAGCCCATGGTGTCTCTATAATATTTTTCTAATTTATTGATTGAATCACAGAACATTTCAGACCTTGCCCTGGTAAGAAAACATCAAATGTAATGAAAAATAAACTAGTAAACTACTTGACAGCTAAAACAATGAACCTTGAAAGCTAAAACATGTGTTTATCTAAGAAAGCAACACAAACTTCTGGCAGGCAGCACAAGCACATAAATCATAAAGAAGTAATAACAATAGATCAGGACAAAATCACACTAATAGGGATATCAAAGACAATTAGGCTTTTGTTGATTTCTTAGTATTGATTATATGCTAGTAACTGGCTAGCTTCAAACATATTCAGCAAAACTCAAAACTACACTAGACTAACCTGGCCTTTATAGAAGCATTTAAAACACTCTCTCGGATTTGCTTTAACTCTTCAGTGGCCACGGGTGGGGAAGGTCTAAAATTGGAAGCTCTAACGGGAAGATCTTCAGATGTACTTCCAAGAGAAACCCCAAGTGCCCTCCTCAATTCTCCTGAACGTGTGTACTTCCGAGTGCCAAAAGAAATGTGTTCCAGAGATAAACATTGGTGTAAAGAGGGTACATCTGGTGAAGCCATGACACCACCCCGGCTAACAGAAACAGACATTACACCATCAGCACCCATGTACAGTTCAAGTTGCCAGTATAAGCGACACTATTGCCTGTAAGCTGCCAAAATGTTGCCGAAAGATTTACTAACATGAGAAACAACAATAGAAAGCCTTATCACTCATATCAGTCATGCTTTACTACTCCTGCAGGTGTAGGCACATATACGTGCATAGACTAAGTATACTAGTATTAATAATAAGCAATTACGCAAAAGTTGAGCATAGCTGTGCTTGAAAATCTCCAACATCACAGATGTATTAGTGAGTTCGAATTAGGTTTGCCTATCTTATAGAGTCTTTTATTAATTCATTTTGTTCATGAATCATATGATACAAGATGTATCTTGCATAAGACTTTGTAGTACTATAGACATGAATTTAAAAATTGCTTATGCAAAATCAAATCCCTCGCCGTCTTTAGGCAACAACGATGCATCATGATCTGAAGGTGGCCTGGTAGCCATTCAAAAAAAGATCCAACAAGCACTTGATAAAACTACTCTAGAGCCCAATCACAAAACCTATTCCCTCATTAGGTCATACACAATGCAATGCAATGAGTCCTCCCGCGAAACAGCTAACAATCAAGGTACATTTGCATTTTACAACACATTAGCAACCCAATTTGACTCAATTATCAAATTATACTCCAAAATTCACATAAAATTCTTCTTGCATAAGATTATCAACTTAAATTGCACATAGCAAAATTCTACCAACAATATCGATCGTTATAATCTTTCATAACTCAGTAATTATAACCAAAAGTTCAATAAACAATTCACCTTATAAGAACCCTAAATTGAATATACGGAAAGTTCAATCAACGACAAAACCCTAGATTGTGAAATTGATATTCGGTGATTTAGGAAAAGAAAAAGAAAACATCTTACCTCAGAAGCTGCTTCAATGGAGGAAAGAAAGATCACGAGCTGCTTCAATGGAGTATTCAGAAGATTACGCGCTTCAATGGAGAATTCGAAGTACGCGCTTCAATGGAGGAGAGAGAAAGAGGGGGATAATAACAGTGAAAAGCTAAAAAAAAAACGTAGGAGGAAGATTAATCACACGCCTATACGAAGTAATGTTAACCATTAGATTCTATACAAGTATAATATCAACGAGCAAAATTCATTTCATTTAAGTTCTGTACACCCTCTATTCTTTTAAAAAAAAAAAAAATTATTTAATATAAATATACATAATTAAAAAAAATTTATCAGAAAGGACCTTTAGAAATTTTGTGAAGAGGGGCTCTTAAAAAAAACTAAACGGCAATTTCATGAAATGACACTGAGTACTTAAAAAATTCACCAGATGTCATCGCGTTTTCAAAATTCACCAAATGCCACTGAGGTTTAGTACAATATCACCATATGCCATTTCCGTTAGTTGACCGTTAGTGCCCATTAGTTGACCCCACCACTTGCCACGTGTCACCTTCTGATTGGTCCGTTTCTAAAAAAAATTAAACAAAAATTTAAAAAAAAAAACCAAAATTATTAAAAAATAATAAAAAATAACAAAAAAAAAAAGGAACTCAGAGGTGGCCAGCCACCACCTCCTCCCTGCCGTCGAGCCCCCTGCCCACCCCAAAACCCTAGCCACCACCACCCCCTGCCGCCGAGGCTAGCACCGGAAGGCGCGCCGGCCGCCGGCGATCCCTCCCCTTACTCGTCGCGACCCCCGGCCCTAACCCGCGAAACCCCACCCCCCTTCATCCACCACCCCGAAACCCCACCCCCCTTCCACTCCCTCTCCGATTTCCAGCCACCTTACCCAAAACCCATCCCCTTCCAGTCGGTTTTCGATTCCGACCACCCAACCCAAAACCCCCTTCCCCATCCCTTTTCGATTTCGGGAAACTCAATATCCATAGCTACAATGTCGCGAATTAAACCAAACTCGTCTTCCAGATTATCATCCCAAACCTCTCTAATCGAAAAGATCTGCAAACGATGTCCCAAACCTCAGTATCCATGGCTACGATGTCGCGAATTAATCCAGCGTAGCCTAGCCTTCGTTCTTTCTCCAAACGATAAGATCTGCAAAATCGAAAAGGAATGGGGAAGGGGGTTTTGGGTGGGTGGCCGGAATCGGAAACCGACGGGAAGGGGATGGGTTTTGGGTAGGGTGGCCTGAAATCGGAGAGGGAGAAAAATGGGTGTGGGTTTTCGGGGTGGTGGAGGAACGGCGGTATAGCTGGGGTGGTGGCTGCTGGGGTGGTGGCTGGGGTTTGGGGTTTTTTTTTTTGTTCTTATTAAATTTTTTTTTTAATTTTTGTAAATATTTTTGGTTTTTTTTTTTAAACGGGCCAATCAAAAGGTGACATGTGGTAAGTGGTGGGGTCAACTAACGGTCAATTAATGAACACTATCAGTTAACTAACGGAAATGACATTTGGTGATATTGTACTAAACCTCGATGGCATTTGGTGAATTTTGTAAGTACTCAGTGGCATTTCATGAAATTATTTTTGCTATTTTTAGTCGGCTTTCGAGTGTTGTCTTGGTTTTTCTCGCATTGAGTCATCGACCCCGTATATATGTAGCATGTGCCTTGATTTTTAACTTCTTCCTGCCCTCTTGCGTCCCCATACTCCCCAACTACCGGCCAACTAACCCGCCACCATCCCACCACTGGCCTACTTATGTATATAGAAAAGACGAGATGTTAGGCTTAACTGAATCCCACCGTTTAGCTTCCAACTGATTTTAAAATAAGCAACTAAAATTTTACAATGTTTAATTAGTTAACTTTGTATATTTTTTGTAAATGGTTAGTTGTTTTAATGGTGAAAACAAATGGAAAGTACTACGTATAATCTTTAATTTCTTATTTTATACGAAGTATAATTTTATAGGTTCCATTTCCTTTTACTTTCGACAATCAAGGTTGATTTAGTTGGTTAGAGGCCTTCCTTCCACCCCTATGAAAAGGGTTCGATTCTCATCTTCTTTTCTTTACAAACTTTGACCGCTCACCTCGTATAATTCAACATTTGTTTCCAATGATAAATGATGTCTCCACTCTCCACCATAGTCTTCTATGTTATGAAGAGGAATTATAGCTACTTGGTTATCCATTTGAACTTGTAGTTTGTTGGTTCTCTTTCTCATAGCCAGTTCCAAGACATCCAACCCATATTCCACTGCACTCGATTTTTCTCTGATGCGTCCCAAGTAGTGTGATCTTAGAATCCATCACCTGTGAACTCTCTCGATACAATTCAATATGGTCTATTGTGATGATGTAAGTGCGATATCTATATATCTCCGGCAATGATGTTCAACATCAATGCACTACACTTCAAGATGGATATCTAAAACGTAGCCCTTGGACATATTCGTGTTCTTTACAACTATATTCACTAAGGGACATTCTTAGCATACGAAAAGCTAATCTACAACTACGAGGGTGTATAAGATTAGGTAAAAAAGATTTAGGCCTTATTCTTTTGAGCTTCTGGAAAAGCAGAGCAGAGTAGATTTCAGCACAGTAGAACAGATGTCAACAGAGCAGAGCAGATTGAGTCAGGAGAGCAGAGCAGAGTAAGGCTCAGCAAAGCAGAGCAAAAACAGCTCTAAAGAACAGGGCCTTATATTACTAACATGTAATTATTATATATATATGATTTTAGATAATATACCTTGTTCACTCTAATGTGCTTTTGTTTATAAACATTGTGAAGCAATGGAAACAGTTATGGAATACTTTTCCAACTCATATCTTATTTAGAGAAACTAGTACGAGTACATCAATATCGGATACTTATGTGGCATATCGTATCGGTTATTTTTTTATTTTTTTATTATTTTTTTTACAGGGAAGAAAAGGAATTTCATTGATAAAATATATTCAAATGACACTTACATATAATTCCTAAGAAATCAAGAATTCCAAACACAAGTATATAACACGTTAAAACTATATACTTCGCAGATTTGATCAACAATCACGTTGCTAAAAACCTTCATATGAAGCAATACAATATGTTAGTTAGCACTAATTCGACTTGAAATCCACTTATGCGTAGTCATTTGAGTGAAAATACTCATAAGATCCTCTTGATTCTTATGGAGATTATGAAACCCTATATTTTCAATACTCGTCATACAAACAGAAAGAGAAAATAAACCTAAGAGAAAAATCATTATCTCAAGGATGAGATCTATTTATTGAAAGCAATTAAAAGGTTTTGGGGCTTGCCACCGGTAAAACACACCCGTGGAAGCCCGTACAAAGATTCACAATTGAGACCAAGAAGAAAAGAGATGGTAGAGAATAGGGAGAAGAGAAAAGGAAAACCTTCAAAGAAACAAAAAAAAAAACCTAGCAATGGAGGCTAGGAAAACCTTCCAAGGGAGAGACCCTAGAGGAAACCAAGAAAAACCCTCTCAAGGAGAAAACCTAGAAGGAACGACATATCGTATTGTTCGTATAACATAAACAGGTTTTTTTAATTACATAAGTGTTACTTTGTGGAGAGCTACCTATCAAAAAAAGTTGCAAAAAACTACCCATTTTAATAGCTCATTACCGAGTACAAAATAATACCTTTAGTCCTTGGCAAACATGTTCAATGACTTTGACTTTAGTCAAAATTTCGGAGTTAACTAGAAAGCTATGAAACCAATTTCATTTCCTGTTATAACTCATGCTTCAGAGTTCAGATTAAGAGCTATTACACATCAAACACGTTCTTTTTACAAATCAGAATTTAATTTTTTTTTTTCTTCACAAATATCACCATTCAAGTATTGAGAATAGGTGCAACAGATAAAAAATGTAAAAAAAATTAAAAATTATGATGCTGCTATCAGCTTTGGAGTACCAGGTAACGGTATATATTTTGCAGGTTCTTCGTTGAGCAAGAGTGCCCTTAAGATGGATTCACATACTTCAGTGTCATACACAATCAAATGGCCGCCATGAGGAATTTCATGGTACTTGATCCAAGGTAATTCTTCCATGACATGTCTTTGAAGTTCAACTGGAACAACCTTATCTTCATAGCCTACCCATAGATGAACTGACTCGTCTTTGGGAAATGGATTGTTTAGTTTCAATGGATCGAACTCCCATTTACTAAGTCCCACCAATATATCACCTCGAAGATTATCAAATATACTTCTCTGTTCTATTTTGTTCTGTTAGGGGGAAAGCAGAGAGACAAAAGCACCATAGTAACCATTAGAGCTCATAAAACATCAGTGTCAAGATCTCTGTTACTCAGACTCGTGAGCATCATTGAGACATAGGTGTTAGACTTATTTCTTATTTTAAGAAAAGAATCATGTTTTTGGTCAATTACTTGAGGTAAAATGGAAAGTCCAAAAAACATGGGTCATGATTAGTATTTGGAATATTAACTTCTGAATTAGTATGTACCTCACTGAGCAGTTCAAATCCTGGAGTTCTTTTCAGAACTTCCTGATCTCTTTCGCTGAAAAATACAGGATTCTTCTCCATTACATTTGCCGTAGGGAGACACTTCTGGTTCATCCACCAATATAGTAAACTGGGCATATGTTTCAAAACAAAAAGAGTTAATTTAACAAGATTTCTTCTGAAGTCGTCTTTGATTAGGCTTTTAGGGAGAGAGGGCCAGGAATAATTGACAACTGCAGCCACCAAAGCTACACCTTGCAGCCTGCACAAATATCATTTCCCAAATTTAAAGTGAGATAAGGTTTTGATACAGCCTATACACCAAACAAAGCTCAAGAAAAAGAAAGAGATAAACATCGATAATTTCCCAGCCAAGCTTCAACAGATATATCATCACAAGAAGTTACTGAATCATATAGGTTAGGTTTCAATCAAATTTTAAACCAGTTATATCAGTTCCAATCGGGGCAGACAGCCTGATTGTCAAGACCTATGAAAGGGCAAAAAACGAAATGAGCAAGATTCCATTTTCAACTGGTTTTAGACTAAGGCTTTGTTTATTTCACTTTTCCATGAACACTATGATCACATAAGGGCTACTGAATATCAATTAACAGCTACTCAAATTTACTGTCTTCTAGGTAAAAAGAACAACGCCTCAAATCATGCAGAATTGCAGATAGCATGCAACCAGGTAATTTACCTTTCTTGCCTCTAGGATAATTATTCAGGGATCAGAATTGAAATATGGTTTCTAACACAGAATGCAACTCTTAGCAAAGCGTATTACTTGCCTGTGTGGTATATACTTGAGGCAACTCCAAATAGGATATGATCCCATTGACACCCCAATCACATAGAACTTGGGTCCTAATTCTAACTGATCCGCGAGTTGCTCAATATCTAATGCTTCACTTTTGAGTGACCTTTCAGGGTTTGGATCACTATCCGCGTAGCCTGCTCTATCATATAGCAGCATATATATCTTCAATTCTTCAATTAGCCCCTGAAAACTAAATCATTGTAAATCAAGATAGTTCTGCCACAAACAAACAATTGATTGTATCATACATTCAAGATTATTCTGATTTCTGCCCCATTTATTAGTTTGTCTAGTACAGTACTAGAATATATTGTAACTCTTTCTGGGACCAATGGAATATGCTTTATCTCGATGACATACATACTCTCATATCCAATAGTATAAACAAGTTGACATCTGAAATTCAAATCCAACACACGTAATCACAAATCACAATACCCACAATCTATGTCTACTCTATATCCATGGCAGTGACACACAAACAAACCAAAATTTAGTCCAGATTACATGAAATATGGGTTTTTCAATTTACAAAAAAAATTGTTGTACTGTATAAAAATAAATCACCCACGTCCTTTTTTCTATCCATTTATCCAAAATTACTCTTTTCATACGCCAAGATTAAAACCCAAAATTAAAAGGGGTTTTTCTACTTCAAATTTACTCAAGAAAATTGTTGTACTTAAAAAAAAATGCACCCAATTTCTATATTCAACTATTCATCCAATCACACTCCATTTTAAAAGCCAAAACTGATCAAAACCCATCAAAATTCAGATCCAAAAATTAAACAAAAATCTGAAAAAATGGTTCAAGAATCAAGATTACTTGATGTTTCGGATGAAAACAATCGAATCTCGGAAGATCCTTTTATCTTGAGGGAACTTGGTCTCGGTCCGAACGACGCAGGAGCCGAGGGTTTCCTGCACAACGAATACACGTAAACTAGCCTCGGGGGGGACGCCGAGGAAGGCCCCTCCGATGCTTAAGTCAGTATATTAGAGAGAGAAAGCTGTGCAAGAGTTTAGTTGCTTGAGGCTTTATTGTCTTACCAAGAATTGACCAAATTGTTGGCTTTTATACCTTGGCTAATGAAGGAGGCGGATTGGGCCCGGAAGTCAGTTGGGCTGGGCCAAGCTGATTGGGCCGTTGACTGACCTTGACATGGCTTTGAGGATGTTTGATTTTTGACTTTAGCACATTTGGAGAGTTGAACCTTAACCTTGGGCTTTTAATTGGATCATTCAGTGACCAGGCCCAATTGGACTAAATTGGACCCAAACAACTTGCCCCCCAGACCCGATTTGGAAGGATGACGGGTCGGGTTTGATTTAATCAGAAAAGGAGGGAAGTGAATGATTTGTTAATCCAAAAATGTGAATTTAAACCGTAATTAACCCATGATTAATGAGATAACAACAGTTAATGTGGATGATTGCGGAAGTTGGATGGGTAGTGGGCGACTTAACTGCAAGGTCGTGTGTTTAACGGTTACTTAGTGGGGTGCTTGAGAGAAATTGAAACGCAGACTCCTTGAATTCCCATTTCTGGAGATATAAATAGAGGCGCGTCTTCTCTCCCCACTCACTCATCAACACAAACCCAGAATTCTCAAGAACGCTCAAGAGCCCGCATCAAAACTTCGCAAATTCCCCGAGCATTAAGCTTAGAAGCTGAGACTTGTCACTACCAATTCGTAAATCGGCGGCTTTTGCTTCAGATCAAGGTAAATTCCTTTGATTTTATTTCATCTTTCTTCGACTTTGCACTCTTTCCCCTTTTTCGACTTTTTCCTTCGAAATTCGTCAATGGTGAGGGGAGTTAGAGGTGGAGCCCGTGCTCCAAGAAGAGCAAGGCTAATCCCCGATCCCAGGGTCAGGATTGGGACCTGGAATGGACGAAGGACAGAGTCTGACCCTGCTGAAGGGGTTAGGGCGACTCCCATTTCTTCGGCTCCTCCTCAGAGGGCTGAGGGGGTGAGAGCTTCAGGACGGGATGATGAAGTTCCCGCTGTCCTTTGGGATATCCTCCCAGGGTTTTCAGAGTGGGAGGATGCCGAAGTAGCTTCGGCCATGATAAAGAACCGTCCCTACTCATGGTGGGTAGAGAACGCCGATCAATATCGATTTGCTGAGCAAATTGAGTTGCACTACGGCATTTTTGAAGCTGATGGATATTGGTGCCGAATGCCCTCAGCATCCGATAGAATCCATCGTCCACCCCCGGGGTATGTGGGGGTGTACACGAGACAGCTTCAGTATGGGCTGAGGTTCCCTTTGGACGTATTCGTTCGAGACTTGCTGATCCATTACAACATTTCCCTGTGCCAGCTGACCCCCACCAGCATCCGAAGGGTAATGACGTACTTATGGGTCTGCAAATTCTTCAGATACGTGCCGAACCTGCACTGCTTCAGAAAGCTCCATCGGCTAGTGCCAAATATTCAGAGTGGGCACGGAAGCCATGGTTCTGGGTGGTATCGGATTGAGTCTCGGCCCCCGTTCCTAACCATGTGGCCGAACGACTCTTCAGACAAGGACTGGAGAGGTCAATGGATTTGGGTTAGGGCGCCCACGGAGCCGAGCCATCCTCATGTTTTCAGCGCCCCCCGGTATCTTGCCGAGCCGGATCCTGATATGGGAAGTTTAGGTCCTCCCGAAGATAGCGGGCCAGACCCGAACCTTAATCAGCAGAACATCTTCGGCAAGCTGCCGAACCGGGGAGGCAGCGGCCGAATGCAGCATATCCCGGAGACTTGGCTCCCCGATACGCACTATGTTTTCCAAGAGAATATGCTGGCAGCTGTCGGCCTCAGCCGAAAGTTTAGGGATGGTAATCTTCTTCGGCTGGGGCCGAGGCCTTTTAATTATCTCTTTTCTTCTTTCATTTTGCTTTCTTGTGATGTGCCGAACTAACTGAATTGACTTCTCCCCTTTTCTTTTTCAGAACGGGACGAGACCAACGTCGGCATTGATTACGCTCGCCTTGGCGTCAACCGAGAACGAGTCGTAACTGATCGGGCTCCCCCTATCACTGAACCAAGGCGCCGAGAGGTTCACCTAGACTCTTCCCACTTCCAAATTGAGGCTGTTGCTCTGTATCAGAGGCAGAAGCCTTGGTGGGAGAAGAGGGATCCCTTGTTTCAGCTGCTGGAAGAAGAAGCTGAAGCTGCCCGCACAGCCGAAGAGGTTGCACGGGTACTTGAGGCTTGTGAAGGAGGAGAAGGGTCCTCCAGAGCTGCTGAAGCCGAAGCTGCAGCTAGAGCAGCTGAAGAAGACGAGGCTTTGCTGAAGACCTCGGTGAGTTTTTAGACAACTTTTTTCTTTTTTTTTTTTTTTTTTTTTTTTTACTCACACCCTTCTTCCCCCCTGTCTGTTACAGTCTGAAGAGAGTAACAGACACAGAGAAGGCAAAGCTCCTGTTCGTCCCGAAGATCAAATACAAGAGTCTTCAGATTCAGATATGGACGAGCAGCCCCTTCTGAAAAGGCGCCGAAGGATGGCCATCATCGGCCCTCATGATTTTCAGCAGAGGCCGATGACCATCGGC